TTGCTATTCTGTATTTTTTTTTTAATCTAAAAGTGAAACCGTTATAAATGCAAATTTTACCCCAGATAGCTAAGAACCACCTGTCCCTTTATAGAATTTTCCCCACATCAAGACAAAAACATTGGCTCTGGTGACTCAGACGGGATTCACTGGACATAGTGTCTACTTTGCTTTTAAAGAATGAATGTCATTAGGAGTTCAAAACAAGATTTAATTAATTGAAATGTGATTTATGTACTGGTCAGCTGTTACCTGCCCATAGCTGGGGCACCCCGGAGAATGAATCACATGGCCATTGGTGTTTACTGAGCCACATAATGAACAACACGAGTCTGTTTTACTCAGGCAGTTTGTTCTCCATCAGCTGGAGGATTAGGAGTTAGACTGTTAATTAGCTGCAGGTAAAGTTTTCAGGTGCATGGAGTGTTTTGTGGAATGAGTAATCTAGCTTTTACACAGGCTCAATAATTCTAACCACATGAATTCTACACATCAGCTAAATCCTAGTAATTCAACTAAAGCCTTTTGGAAAATTGAGAATACATCAGACAAGCACCTCCTTCTAGATTAAACAACAAAAACTTTTCTTTTTTTAAAGGGGAGTAACTCTGCACACTACCTAGATACAGCAACTTTCTGTGACTAATACAAGGCAATTTATTACTGTGCTGGGGATTCACATTCCAATTTGTTTGGCCATTTAATTGATATGATCTGACCACTTCTTAAATATGGTCCACAATGCATTTATCATTGTAACTTATTAATTCTCTCAATTAAATGCTGGATCTGAGTCACCAATATTTTGTTGACCAAGGTCAGAACTGTAAATCACAAGTTCTCTATTCTCCTCTGTAATGTAGGACATTTGATTTAAACTCAAGAGCTAAAGACAGTGGACTTTGAAATATAGTTTCAATATGAACAGCATTCTTGAATTACAAAATTACGATGCACACAAGTTGAGGAAACGAACTTTTATTTTCTCAGACATAAAGGCCCATTTTATTGACCAGAAAATGGCCATACACAGGACTCACATCCTTTCTCATTTATAACATGCAAATATGGCAGGAAATAAAAAAGGGGTGGAAAATGAAATCTCCACAAGTCCAAACTGATTTATTCCCTATGCAAATATGAATGCCCTGGCACAAAGATGTTAGAAAATTGATCCTATATTGATGCCTGGAGAGCGTGCTAGCGTCACTCACAAACCACTGGGAACCTACTCCTCAAAAGATCAAAGACGGAGGCCTGCCAATATCACTTAATTTTAAATTTACGCTCGCAAAAAATTAATTCTTTGTGACAAAAGAAAATCATTGAGTAAATATATTGACCAGCTGTGTTAAAGACCCCTTGTATCAAACTACCCCTCAGTAAAAGATGATGTCAAACTATTGAATGAACCACAACAGTGCCTGTATCCGTCTCTTGTAACCTAACACCTAAAATACCGGGCAAACTTCCATTCAGTAATGGCCATTTACCATCTCGATTTAAAAAATGAACAATTAACAAATCAATATTGAATTTTTTGCAGTTTTTATGACTATTAAACGTATTATCTTTTTTTCAGTTATTTGTTAATAGTAGTCCTTCAAAAATCATTTGAGCTGTATTTAAAGAATTGAAAATTGGCTATAATATCTGTAAAAAGCTCCGCATGAATCATCATCATGGGACTTCAGCAGCAAAAACAAGGATTTTCCCATAAAAGCTGTACTTTTTTTAAAACCATTACTTTTAAAGCAACTTATATCAAGCTCAAGTAATTGAAGGAGAAATGTTATCTGTGGCTTTTCCCTTCCTATGCTTCTTTTGTCCAATGTCTTTTTTCTAATTATGCCTTGTGTAAAGCCTGCATAAGTCACCTTGAATGATTATTGAATAGGATAAGAGTTTCTCTAGGAAATCATTGTTTATCCATTCTTAACTATTCACCCATCATATTTGATACAACATTTAATTACCAATACATGTATAGATTTTATCTCGCTGTTTGGTAATATCAGAGCAACACTTAACAAAATAACCTGAGAAAAGAGAGGTAACTCTGACTATAGCCATTGGCACAAAATATTATTTCTTTGGAACAAAGATTGTTATATTTTCGCTGGAGACAGAACCGTGTGTGTTGCTCAATTGAAATCAGAATGATCAAACAATAAATCACTGTCTGTTCTGCCTGGTAACTTTCTGAATTTTTATGAATGAAATTTTAAAATTCAGCAATGCATGAATGGTACATTTTCTCCATTAATTTTACCTTCCTATAGGTGTTATAAACATTATATAAAACCTGAGAATATTTAGCCAAGGGGGCAAAGATACTCCATTTTTTGTGTGATAGTATCATTGGCATATCAATGTGTGACTTTATTATGGAGATAACCTCCGTATCATAAATCAAAGAGATGAGTCAAATCCATTCAATAGTGAGAGTGAATAAAATTTGTGTCGGACTCTTAACACAATTAGTTGTGTTTGGAAAAGGAATATAATCAGCAATAATTACCATAAAAGGACCATTGCTGATTGTCACTCGGTTAGACCAGGCTTTAATCACTAGTGTTGCATGTCCACTTGTTCGTATAAATCAAGATAATTTTTATAATGGTCAGTTCTGCCATGTTAACAAAATCTAGAGGAAGTTGTCAACACTCTCATTTCCTGGAAAATGATGCCAGCATCAGCTACCGCCATCATCTGCCTCGTGTCCACATCAAACTGCTGGTGCCCCAGGAATGGAAGGCAGGAAACAAAGAAATCGGCATGAACTCTATAGAAAAGGTGAAACAGCCCCCAGTCCAAAAGGTGAACATGTACAGGATTCATCACAGTATTGTTTTTGACCTCAGAATCTTTGCTCGAACATAAACTTTCCCTAGGCAGAAAAAAACTGACACACATTTGAAAGTATTTTTTGGATCTGGACCAAATTAATCTAAGGTGAAATAATCAATCTATCCTGTTAATTAAGCTAACTTTCTAATTAGATACAAAGAGACACATATATGATTAAATGAACTCTAGCTTATTTAGAACAAAAAGGGGGCAACTTCATAAAAAAGCCAATGACATGACTGCTTCAGAGTACACCAAAGATTCTCTACCCAGCAGATCTAATCAATCAGACCTCTAATCTACCATTTAACTTTCTACAACTGGAGATTAAAAAGTCTTTCAGCTTTATGCCTGATAGATATTTTGGTAGGTGTAAGAGCGGAACAATCAAAAGCGAGGGCAAAACAATAAAACTCATCTGCCATAGATTTCACTGATAGAGAGAGGGTGAAAATTGTTTGACAACTGACAAGGTCAAATTCTGTAAAGATGGGGACCCAGGACTCAACCTGTTACCAATCAGATAGCTGGACAACGCAAACATTATATGTATACTATCTGACTGAGCAACAATAAAATCAAGTTTATACAAAACCATATGTGACTTCTGACATTCCATTGTGTAGTAAAGCTCAAATGTAAAAATAAATTCTCAACATCCAAGTGAAAGCCATCTGTTGAAATCTTCATAAATTGAACTATTTCTTGGCAAACATGATGCTATTTCAGATATATTTGGTATCAAATTCAGAATAATTACAAGAACAAAAGAAATTGCTCAATCATGAATGATCATTAATCCGATAAGTCCCTCCCTATTTCTTCTATAATAAGGGCAAGTAGCCCAGGACAGGGGTTTGGTGTAAAACTGCTCTCTCTCTCTCTTCTGTCTCTCATTATCCTACAATCAATCCCTCACTCTGTAGCTTCCACTGTTTGAATTGCCTGAAATACACTACTAATGACAGAGGATCAATTTTCAAAATTGCTCTTCCTGCATCAGAGATTTGTTTAATCATGACATGAATCTGTAGAAATATTTTGACAAATTTCCCCAATTCAACCCATCTCTTTTTGTCCCTTTGTACATTGCAGCAAAGGAGAGAGAGGAAATCAGTCTTTTCTCTTTTTTTCATCAGCCCCAATAACAATTGGAATTTAGAGAAGACTTTTCTCATTGACAATTCTCTGAAGCTACAACTGAATTGAAACAGAAAGGAGAGGTTTGACACCTTTGTAAAGAGATCTGTCCCTGATTAGATACCATCTCCCCAGCCAATTTTCCTTAAACAGATTTGGCTTTATGGGCAATGGCGTTTGTACACCTCCTCTGGTATTTCACACCTGTAGATCTGACATTTTCTTGACTTAAGGTCATGGAGGCCGGACAAGGTGACAATAGGATTATCAGCTCTTAATCAGGGTGATTTGTCAGCACTTGTATCAATCAGTCATAACAAAGCACATGATGGATATTATCTACCACCTTAATCCACCCTTACCTATCCATATAATGAAAGTCTTAGAGGTGAGAAACGGCAGATATGTTAACACTGTAGCATTAATTCCTGCATAAACAGAAAATAATTCTCAATGAAAGACACTCTCTCAAGAGAACCGCTGAAAAAATATTTGATTTCTTCATGTACTTTAAATGGAAGCCTGTGAAGTGTTTAAACACTGAATTCCACACCTATATTCTAATTAATTTGGGTTTCTGTCATTCCCTGCTCCATGCAGAGTTAATAAGATCCCTAGGTTATTCAGATATTGCTACATCACTATCACCAATGCAATTACAATCCTCTCTTTCGCCCCAGATTTCAAAACTGCAATTTTATTGAAACCAATTTTTTCGGTATCAAAATTAAGTGAATTTTCTACCCTTGCTGTAGTTCCATACTCTTGACAAGGTTATAGAATTACTGTAAATCACTTTTTATTCGTGAGAACTTTATTTTCGCGTAATTACACGAGATGGTATGCTCGCGAAAATTTCATTCTCGCGTATAATAGAATTCCTTAAGATTATATAGAGCAATGACCAAAATTCGTGAAAATTTTGTCTCGCTAATAAAGAGTCAATGACTATCTCGTGAAAATAAGGTGTCGCAAAAATTAAGTGACCTACAGTAGTTATCTCAGCTTACCTTGCAAAAAAAGAAGCTGCTGCAGACTGCTGGCTGGTCACTGACCCAGGGGAGGATACCCTGGAGAAAGGAGGTGGAGACATGGCATGAGGTGGTGACATGGCGTGGGGTGGTGACATCGCATGAGGTGGTGACATCGCCCTGGAGTGGTGGGGGACAGGAGACATTGGTGAAGGCACAGAATAATTTAATGGTGAATTGTAATTTGTTCCCGACACAGAATACTGTAAATGTGAATACTGAGCACTTTGTAGAGGATCTGAATACCCTGCATTGGACTGGTTGACATGATACGGAGTTCCTGTATCCCTGTAAGGGGAACCTTGAGACACAGGGTGTACACTGTAAGACTGGCCATGACTGGGGTAATGTTGGGGGTAAATCAAGCCACGAGAATGCTGCTGCATATAAGGGTTAATTCCAGGTTGCATAGAATATTGTCCAGCTTCCAGGTCTTGTAAACTGTTTGATTGCATACTTTGTCGTGTGGGGTTCACGTTCGCGGAGTGTGGGGATCCAGGGTACATCATGGAATTTTCCATAATCTGAGCTAAGTTTTCAGGGACAGACTTGGCTCCTGTTGCACCGGTTCGTTGCTGTGTCAGCATCTGAAAAGATAAGCCAACAATAAATGGCTATCAAACAATATATTTCCAGTTATTGTATCCATGTACAAAAGAAATTGTAACAGCCCCTTTCAATTATTTTCATATTACACAAAACTTGCTTTGAAAGAGTATTCAATGGGGCATAAAATTTGCATTGCAGGGCATATGGCATGAAACTTGTTCCTTGATATTCTTTTCCATGTTCAGTATGAAGTGTATCATCTGTATAATTTATCAAAGATAAAAATGATCAATCAAAGTTTAAATCATAAAAAGACATCTACATTTCAAGTGTCCAATTGATGTAGACATGGATTTACACACTGAAAATAATCCTCTGTAGCAAAATACTTGATCACTTTATGCTGCCATCATCTTTAGTCTCAGATTTCTCTGAACCAACTGCAATTCCAGATATCACTCTAGTATTTCAAAAAAATTTGGTACATTACACGAAATTCAATCCTACATCCTACCATAAAGCTCTTGAAATGTAACACATGGCAGACATTACTTTATGCATCATTTCCTGTATCAGTAATGAAAATATTAATATGCATATGTGCACATGAAATGTTCATGTTGTTGACTCGAGTGTCAAGACCTACACCAAGATCAAAGACCCAGAGTCACATACTACTGATCTCAATGAAGACATCATCTATCTAGCCGCACACTACTTTCTCCCCCAAGGCTGTTTTTTGATTGGTCAAATCTTCACGATATGGCCTTACATTAGACAAAGCAAGATCATCCTAACATTACAATAACTTGCAGTACATAATAGATATTAACTGTGTTCCATTGTCAGTTTTATTTCCCATTAAGTGCATTAGTTGTGTCATGGGCTGGCAGATCAAAGAGGGGGGCCTCTTATTATTTATTGAGGATTTGGTAACTTTTTGACAGTTTTTATTGCTTGTACAACATTTTTGCTGTTGTAAGATTGTAAATCAAATTTTGATGCAATGCCTCAGAAGTGTAACCTAACACCTTAAACTCAACACTTCTTAACATCATTTAAAACTGTAAAACAACTAACATACATTTCCAAGCCTTCATTCATAATTTACACTTCCTGGGTCTATAGCTGAAATAAAAAAAAATCTAAGACATACATTGATATTGTAAAAGAAAAAAAAAACATAACATTTTTCTGAGTACTAAATGTCTACATTTTGTGAATGACCAATGACATGTGTGCCAGAAATTTTCCGGACAGAGAAATAGGACATGCTCAGTTAATTTTTATATCTGCCAGGTGCGAAAAATGGCCAATAGATTTGACTACTTGTGGATAGCAGTTGTCAGCTGTATTCCCTGCAGAAAGAGGCTATCAGGGAAATAAAAGAGAAATTAAATTTGTTATCAGCACATTTTAACAACAGGATGAACCTTGCTAACCTACCTCTATCAAAGACATTTCCACCAAGCCTAGCAATCCAAAGGCTGTATCAATTCATCTGATCTAGGCTAATGAAGCTAATTTAGAAACCACTGGTCTAAAATTACTAACAGTATTATCATATGATAATGTGTATACATCCATGACCACAATATGTAAATTTTGGATGATATTTCAAACCGTTAAAAAATTCTAATAACTACAAACTAGCTGTCCTTCCAAAAACTGTAGAAGAATTTTCTTCTATGAAGCTATGTCATCACTTTCTTCTCAAACATAATATAATGATCCGTTTTGCCCATTGCTGCGGCAGTGGATATCTTTAGAGCCACCTTGCACTATAATTACCCTGGAGTCTCCAGGGTGCATTAATAAGGGGTTGTTACATCATAAACCACCAATGACAATGACAATGAATTTATTCTCATGAACTGACATAAGTACAGTGTTGAGAAAGATTACAAGTATAGTTAAACATATGTGCATGCGTGAAAAAGAAAAAAGTACAAAGTAACAAAACTAACAATGAGCTAACCAGGAGAGCCAACTCTCTCAAAAATAATTTTTATAAATTTACACAGTTTTGTCAATTTAACTGTATTTTTTGTATTAAAAAGTTGATCAAACTTATACACATTTGGATGTGAATAGTAATATTTTGATAATAATAATAACCTTGAATTCAAAATAAGTGAATCATTACAATTAAATAAGTAATGAAATTCATCACCAATTTCATTTTTGGAACACAATTTACAAATTCGGTTTTCTCTTGGTACATTATGCCATCTTCCAACTTCTATTGGTAATTTATTATTACAAGTTCTAAACTTACAAAATATTTTCCAGTACTTAAAAGGCAGAGATACTAAATACTTTTCTAGACAAAAAGAAGTTTTGTATATTCTATAATTAAGACCTTTAGACGAGTTAAACATTTCACTATACCACTTCTGTTTAAACTGATCATACAGAGTGTTAAACACTATTTTCTTCAGCCATGATACATTTACAGGTTGACAAGTATGCCAAATATAAGAAAGTCCACATTCATTCAATATAGATTTGACAAAGTTACACCATGGATTATTGTAGTTCTTTAAAACACTTAACAAATTCGATGATAATTTATCCCTTTGTAAAAAAGATAGTTTACACCAAAAACTTATCATTCTAACCTTTATATTAATTGAAATAGGGTATCTACCTAATTCACCATATACCATAAAATTTGGTGTTGATGACTTTACATGCAAAATATGCTTACAAAATTTTAAGTGCAATTTTTCAATCAATGGTGACTGATTAAAACCCCACACTTCGCATCCATATAAAATTATAGGATTTACAATTTTGTCAAACATATCCAATGTGCATTCTATATTAAGGTTGTGTTTTCTACATTTTCCAATAACACTATACATAGCTTTTGTTGCTTTCTGAGATAATTCTTTGACATTTGTGTTAAATGAACCATTTTTACAAAAACTTACTCCTAAATATTTAAAATTATCTACGATTTCTAATGTTATTCCATTTAATGTAATTGGTTTTTCAATTCTTGAATTGCCCTTTCCAAAGATTACAATTTTAGTTTTATTGGTGTTAACTTTGAGATGCCATTGTTTGCAATATTTGTTAAATACATCCAATTGGTATTGTAAGTCTTCTGGTGTTTCTGACAAAAGGATCGTGTCATCTGCGTATAGCAAAACAAACAATCGAAGATACAAATTAAACTCCGATTCTAATTTAGACGTTATAAATGATAAACCTTTTACATTATTTAAATTCATGAAATCTTCAAGGTCATTTAGATAGATGGCAAACAAAAATGGGGATAGGTTTTCCCCTTGTCTAACACCTACAGTACAAGGAAAGGGATCAGAGTACAGACCATTTGAGACTACTCTTGATTTAATATTTTTATACAGCTGTGTTATAAAATTAAAACATTTACCATCTATGTTATTTAATAAAACTTTATTCCAAAGACCTAAACGCCAGACAGAATCGAACGCTTTCTCAAAATCAATAAAGGCACAGTACAACCTTTTCCTATGATACTTAGATATTTCAATCAATGTATACAAAGTAAAAATGTGGTCCAAAGTAGAATAGTTTTTTCTAAAACCAGCTTGATTTTCTAAAATAAGGTGGACAGTATTTGCATAATAATTAAGTCTCTCATTCAGAATAGATGTAAACAATTTACCCAAACAGCTTATCAAAGTAATGGGTCTATAGTTTTTAGGATCTTTAGTGTCACCTTTGTTTTTATATAATGGAATAATATTTCCAAATGTCCACTGAGAAGGTATGATTCCTGAATCAAAAATCTTGTTAAATAATATTACATAAAAGTTTGACATAGTATCTACAGTAGATTTTATATATTCATTAACAATGTTGTCATGTCCACTTGACTTATCATTTTTCAGAGCATGTATACATTTTGTAATTTCTTCGTGTGTGATTGGTTGATTTATGCTGTTATTAAGTTCTAAATTTGACAACAATTTTAGTTCATCTTCAGTCAAAACGTTTTCGCTTTCCCCCTCTACTCCAATGTTGCAACAATCTTTATAAAAATCATATAGTTTGGATAATTCTACATTACAGCATTTATTGTTTCCATTAGAGTTTAATATTTTCCAATAGTCTTTTGGGTTATATGATCTTAAATATTGTAATTTCCTTTTCATATCTGTCCTATGAAAATTTCGAGCAGATTTTAATTTTTGTTTAAACAACTTTTCCTTTTCATACAAATCTTCTTTAAAAATATTACCTCCAAATCGTTTAAACAGTTGTTGTGCTTTTTTAAAATTCCGTCTAGCAGATTTACAGTCTTTTGTGAACCATGGCTTTTTAAAGACACATTTTTTATTCCCCTGTGAAAAAGTGGCTTTTTTATAAACACCAAAAACTTCCTTAGCACTTCCAACTAAAACTTCACCAGCTTTTTCAACAATATTATCAATTAAATCTAATGAAACTTCATTACAGTTTAAAAGTTCTTCTTCTAAACCTTTAATGCAACTAACTTTATTTTCAACACAGTTTTGATAAGTCAATTTTTCATTATTATTCCACCTTTTAGCCTTTTCTGATTGGTCATTACAATTATATGGACTATTTTCTATATCTAAATTCATTGATTCAGGATGTATTCTTATTTTTAGTTCTATTGGATTATGCACATCTGAGTACAATGAAGAAAAAGCTAAAACAGACATTTCTGAAACTTGTTTGATAAAGTTAATATTTGCAATGCAGTAGTCTACTATACTACAGTTTTTGCAAGTAAATTCACCGTTTATATCAGTGTTACAACGTCCATTTAGAATGTAAATATTACAGTTTTTACATAAAGTTAACAGTTTTTTACCAAATTGGTTCAATGTTTTGTCTTTTGATTTTCTATCAACAGATAAACCATAATTTTCAAGTCTTGTTACATCACATGTATCACTAAGAAAAATATTTTCATCTATAATTATGTCATTTGAAAATAAATGATCATTGTTATGAGAATTAATGTTTTCAATATAATCCTTCTCCATAGCAACCCTACTATTAAAATCACCCATAA